CCTAGTGAGCACAGGAGCATAGTCAGGGAACACGGCCTGTATGGGCAGAGGCGCGCAGTCAGGGAACACAGGCCTGTATGGGCAGAGGCGCGCAGTCAGGGAACACGGTCTGTATGGGCAGAGGCGCGTAGTCAGGGAACACGGGCCTGTAGATTTTACAGGTATATAGTTTACTCGAGTATATATGTATTGTAGACATGTGCCTACTTCAGAAGGTCAAGTGCCTGTCTCCTGGACAAACCCCCCCACCCGTCTGCTCGCCATCCCCCTCATAGCTTCTCATTTCTCCTCATAGCATCTTCTCCTGTCTCCTCTCTGCCTCCCACGCTTTTTTCTTTCTGCCCCCTCCCCCTGTTTGCTATGTAGGGTAGCTCCGTGGAGACTGGGGGGGGGGGTGGGGTGCATAGTTTCTTCCATCATTCTCAATTAATTAACATCCCCCCCCAACTTCCTGTTTGGGGTGTTGTGTTCCTTTAGCCCACCTCTGCAGTATCCCACACCATCATATATACTATATATATTTATACATGTCTGACTTCTGTATTTCTGTTCCCATATTTATGTTTCGACATGCATTGAATCCCAGTATAAACAGAGGTGTAGCTGCAGAGCGCTGCGTGTGTCTATGCACAGAACATGAACACACACACACACTAATACAGATCAGCATAACCCTATCCTCTCCCTGCACCAATCTCTCAGGCATCTCCTCAATCTCCTGGCCACTCCCTGACTCTGCTCCACCCCCTGTAGGTGGGTGCAGGTCGCTTGTCCCCGCCTCTCCATTGACTGGGGCTCTGCCTTCTCCAAGCCCCTGCTGTCTCCGTATGAGGTAAGCGCCACCTGCAGGCGGAGTGCTCACACACATTCTCAGGCACCTCCGTCTCAGGTACATGCTCACACACACATACTCCTCACATACACGCTGACCTTCTCCACGGAGCCCGCCTGTAGAGCAGCACTGGGAGCTGCTGCAGGCTGATCAGCTTATACCTCCAGCTCTACTTTCCACTACAAACCCCCACAGTATGTGGATAAACCAGGAGTTCAGAGCAGTAGCTCCTCCAGCTGGTCACCATAGGAACTGCAGCTCCAGCTGTTGTTTTCTTGTCTTTCACATCCAGGTTAGTGTTTATTAACTCCAGTTTAGCCACTTTTCCCCCCCAAAGATTTCACAAGTATTTACACTTATCCCTAGTATACTCCTCTACCACCTACCCAGTGAAAGTGGATAATAGTTTGATAGCAGTCTACATTGTATTATCTTTCAAATAGGAAGACATTTGAAAGTATTGTATCCCAGATTTCACTCTGAGGATCTTTCCATTTCGGTGAGACAGTGAAGCTGGAATGATTCTGTGCCTGGGCTCCTGCCCCATGTCTGCTGATTGACAGGTGCCTGGGGCCCCGCCCCACGTCTGCTGATTGACAGGTGCCTGGGGCCCCGCCCCACGTCTGCTGATTGACAGGTGCCTGGGGCCCCGCCCCACGTCTGCTGATTGGCAGGTGCCTATTTCTTGGGGTAGTTGGAGGGTCGGAGATACTCCTTCGGCATTTCTAATGTCCTACCTGCTGCATTCATTTTTAGCTGATAAAGGACCACGAATCTGCTTTTGGCAGGGTTGGAATGAAAATATTCTGGCAGGGGGGTCGCCAAGAACAGCACTGAGAACCACTGATGGGAGGGAGATGAGACTCAGTGTCACATGAGCTTTTGAGGGCAAACTGGATTTAGACGTTGAAAAATGGTGATGAAGGTGAATCAGTCAGCGTGAGATCAGTGACTTTCTTAAAAAAAAAACATAACAGTAAAGACTTTTATCATTTTAAAACGAGCCGAGTCTGCAACTCCCCAGCAGCTCGGGTTCAAGTCTTGTTTACCATACCTTGGCTTCCAGGTGCTCCGTCAACTTAACAACAGACAGAAACGGGCAGAAAGAGGCTTTTAATGAAACCGTAAAGCATGCCGGCTTCCTGTTCATCATCCCGAGGCTCCCTAGGACCCCCTCCCTTCGATGCACACAGAAAGACATCAGTATCTATCAGTAAAACCCACTCGCCCCTAATTGCGAGTCATCGCATCCCCTGGCGATCGATGGGAAAACTGTCCGCTGGGTCCAAACCCCTCGGCAGAAAGGAGGGTCTCTGCTATTGTCCCCATTGCTCAAACTCCCTGATTAGTCGGCCGCGCACCTGCTACGGCATCGATTGCGCCGGATGAAAGAACAGTACCTTTGCCGGTGGTATTGATTCCTTTAGTCTGGCTTTTACTGTTTCTTGGTATTAATGTGGCCCTCGGAGTGACTTCAGAGAAGCCAGAAAAATGTCCGACTAAAAGCACATTTATCAATAAGTTCGTTTAAAGTATTATACCGAAGGCTTCTGCATAATTAGTGCCGCAAAAGGCGAGTGTTCCGTATTTAAAATGCGCCATCAGCAGGCGAGCAGAACTCGGAGCGAATCGCTGTGAGACGTGCAGCCCGCGGGAGATTTCGCTGCACATAAATCCGAGTGAAGTTCAGGCTCCTGTTTTATTTAAATTGGTTAATGATTAGTAACACAAGCCCCCGCTGCTGCCTCACAGCTCGTTTGTTCGTGATTTTAATCGCTTTCCTCCCACGTGAGCATTGTGCTGCACTGATCTGGGGGCTCGTTACCTGCCGACGAGTTTACCACCAGTTTGCAGAACATCTGCGCTCAGACCCCCGGGTCTCCGACACAATCTCATCCTCTCTCGCCCCCACCTGGGGGAGCAGAGAGAATGAAAGTACCGGAGCATAAACAGCTCTCTTTCCTTCTCTTTCTCCCTGGCTGCAGGCAGCGGTGGCCCTCAAAAAGGCGGAGTGGCAGGAGGTGTATCCCATGGACTTCTACTCCAATAAGAGCTTAGGACCCTGGGCTGTCAATCACCCTGTCAACCAACCAGCTCGCCCTGCTCGCAGGCAAACAAGAGAGGCGAGTAAAGAGAGACGCCGGCTCTCAGTTGCGCTATTCAAAAGTTACATAGAGTACGTATTGCTTAAAACAGCTGAAAGAAAGGCGTCAAATTAACACGAACATGAAATCACCTGTGAGTGTGATGCTTTAGCGACATCTAGTGGAATTGTTAAATCCTGCAAATAGAATGATATTTGCGTCACGTGTAATTGAATCAGAATCAGAATTCTTTATTGTACAACTGCACATGTAACGAAAAACTATAATTGACATAAGGCAGCAGAGCATAGAAACAGCCGTCAAAAATGAGATGAATAAGTAACTGGTACCTGAAGTACTGGTAGCTCTAGGTACCTGAAGTAAAGAACCAACATGCAGTTCTGCCAGAAGCAGCCATGTGCTTTAAATTAATGATTATATTTATTAATTTCATGTTAATCCCCTTACTGCCAGAGAAGTATAGTAAATCATCTTAAATCCATGTAACATAAAACCCCCAAGGTGTTTTTAATGCAGGTTCGTGTTTGTTCCCCTTCCTTTTACAGAAAAATAATCAAGTCGTAGCTGCTCCTACCCAGCAGTGTGGAAGTGACCAGTGTGCCCCCTGTGGTTGTCAGGGAGAGTGATTCTCCTGTTACCCATGACAACAGCCAATCACGTGCTTGCTGAGGACTCAAGGCAATATATCAGGGATTCTGTGATAAGAACTATATCTATTTGCATCATGGTTTTCGTACATGGAGACGCCACACCTCGTCAATTCTCTGCAGATCTACGGCACTTTGTCTCACTACTCACACAGGCTAATGTTCTGGACTGAATGTATAATAAGTTTTAATACTGCTGGATGTTCTGTGGGGGTATGTTAAAAAAAAAACTCAATGTTGCTTGATTGATCATTTAACTGGTCTTTGCCCCAGAGTAACTGCGGAAGCGCATGTGTCTGTTTTCAAGTGCTCTTGACCTTCAATTTGAGTCCTGAAGATGAGTATGAATGGACAACGGAGAAGGTCAGCCTTTGTACCGCCAAAGAAGATGAGACCACTTTCATTTTCCTTTTTATTGCAAAAATGTTTGTTCTCTTTTCCTGTTTTCAAAGAGGATGGGTATTCTGTGTGTGGGGAGCACTAATGTATTCCATTACCAAATTATTTAACAGTACAGTGCAAAGACTTGCTATTATTTTGTATGTCTCTGGTGTAGAGAACAGACTGGCTGATCTTTTCATTTTTCCATTTGAAGTATATTTCTCCCTAGACCAGATCAAGGGAAACTGTTCGTCACCAGAATATTTGGCCAGCACAGTAAATTATATGAAGAACTCTCACAGAATACAAATTGATGACTCTTTGGCCCATTTTCCTTTATAATAAACAAACATTAATAAACAGAGTGGTCATAATATGGATGTGTCATTTCCTACTGTTATGAAGGTGTACTGCCATCTATAACCTGTGATTTATCCCAGTGCCATGCATCCCCAGCTAGAACCTGATTGGCTCCTGGAATGGCCCCTTCTCTGTCACTCACCTATTCAAAGCATATCATTCGCTAATTATAAGGTTGGCCGCTCTGTATGAATTATGGCCCATATTACGCCAGACAACCATAAAAAACCCTGGAATTTCTGGAAGAGAAATATAAATGTATTTAAACATTTCATACATGAAAGTACGATGATTCAAATAACGTTGACAATAATTTATATTGTTTGATATTTTTATTTTCATTGCAATGCAATTACCGAATGGCCGAGATATAACCACACCCGGATTTGCCCGATGACCACCAGGGGCCGCCATTTGGTAGCTCCGCTGATAAATAGCGCGTTTTGTGTGGCGTTTTTAAAAACAATCTTATTTTGAAACTGGCAGATGGACGCCAGCCAGCACCCACGGCCCCAGATTGTGCTGAGACATTAACTTTTAATTACACGGTGATTGCATTTTAACAGCTCGCTGTTTGCGTCTCCCGGCTCATGCTGTGCCAGGAACCGCCGACACAAACTTCGTTTCCACCCGGTTATGGCGTAGGCGCCGGCGCCGGCGCCGGCTAGGAAGCGAAAGTGTAGCCGGCAAAACGCCCTTTTAAAAGGCGACCGGCCCGGCCATGTCTGCTCCGATCTCGGCGCCGTTCCGGATCCTCTGCATTCACGGTTATCGGCAGAACGGCAGCACCTTTAGGGAAAAGACCGGAGCTCTTAGGAAGCTGCTGAAGAAACAGGTGGAGTTGGTGTATATTGACGCACCACACCGGGTCCCCGGCGAAGGCGGTGAGGCTTAACGCCAGGTCCCTCCTGGGCTTTAGGGAAGTCGAGCTAGTCTGCTGTACTCTCCTGTAGGCCTGATGCATGTGGCTCTCCGACAGTACGTGGACTGTAGTTTTCTCTCCGGTTTTTGGTAAAATTTGGAATTGGAACTCACTGACTGCAATGTTTGATGAGTTCTGATCGTCTGTTAACATAGGCTTATAGATGAAATAATTGTGTTTCGTATTCGATATTTTTGCAGAATAGCTGTCCTGTGACACAATTAGCATTTTGGCCGTATTCAAAGAGCTCAAGTTATCCTTTTATGGCGTTGCATATTTTACTAAAAATCGGAACTAAATGCGACCACTGGAAGACACTGATGGGGGGGGAAACTGGTTTGAAACCAGCTGATAAGATTCCTAAAAGAGTTTCACTTGAGAGTTTAAATTGAAAGTTAATCTGTAAGCCTCATGGATTCCCTGTGTTTACCCCCACCAGCCGGGCAGAAGGAGGGAGAGCAGGAGATTGCCGGTGGTGAAGAGGACCCAAGGGGTTGGTGGTTCTCGGATGTCCAGGCCAAGAGCTTTGATGCTGGACAGGAATGTGAGGCGAGTCTGGGGCTGGAGGAGAGTGTGGAGGCAGTGAGGCAGGCCGTGCAAGGCCTGGGTCCCTTCGATGGGATCCTGGGCTTCAGCCAGGGTGCTGCCCTAGTGGCGATGCTCTGTGCACTGCAGGAGCAGGGCAAGGAGCCCCAATTCAAATTCCGCTTCGCCATTCTGGTGGCAGGCTTCCGTAGTGCATGTGCCCAGCATGGCAAGCTGTACGAGGCGCCGGCCCTCTCCCTGCCGTCCCTGCATGTTTTTGGGCAAACGGACCGCGTGATCCCAGAGGCCAAGAGCCAAGCGCTGCTCTCGAGATTTAACTGCCCCCAGGTCCTGACTCACCCCGGAGGCCATTTTGTACCTGCAGCCTCAGCTCACAGGCAGATTTACCTGGATTTCCTGAAGAAGCTCCAGAACGAAGGAGAGATGGAGTGAAGTACAAAGTAAAGCATGGATGTGTGGCAGATAGCGCTGAGTTATCGGCACACTTGTACATGATGGCTTTGTGGTGTGTGACTTCTATGCATGATTGATTACACAGTACAGACTGTCGCTTAATCCAACACAAGCATGTGATGGATGCAGACGTGGCCTGTGAACCAGCTAGGAATTCTTGTCTGACAATCTGTTTCCTTCACTGATAAAAACCAGTTCACTTATATTGTATTCTTCAGTTTTTTTTCTCTTTTGTTCTTAAAACTGCTGGACACCTATAAATGAGGATTTTTTTCCCCCTTTCCACAAAGATGGATATGTAGTTTGGTCAGTCCTCAAAATAATATGTCAAGGCTAATCCAATATTTGTGACCCCAGTTGTGAATAACGCCTAGTTTCCACTAGGTGGGGCTATTGTAAAGACTAAAGTGGCGACTGATTTAATTGTTGATACTGCTCACGGTGCTTCTTACCGGATCAAAGTATTACCCGGTGTTCTGTGTCAGCAAGTGAATGTGTCTCCGGAGGGAGACGGGTACGTGAGTGACATCGCAAACTATATCCAGATGTGCAGGGAATTATGGTTCCTCTCTTTCTCCGTGTCCGTCTGCAGTTCTCTGCTGTGTATTTTGCCATCACATTTCCTGTCCTCTCATCTCCTGCCTGCAGAAGAAGGGAGTTTGATTTGTTTCTCCTCCCGATAGGTGTCCCTGTACCCTCTTAAATTGCCTTACCATCTGTGTTTCACACCTTGCTTTTTCCTTCTGCACTGATAGGAGTCAAATGTTCAGATTTTGAAGCCCCTGTTCAGTTCCGATGGCAGTGGAATGAGCATTCAGTCAAATAAATGACTCAAACAAGCAGAAAAATCACAAAATAGAAAGGCAGTGCTGATATTTAATTGCTCGTACTCGTGTGGAGTTGGTGTGTTCCGCCCGTGTCTGTGTGGAATTGGTGTGCTCCGCCCCGTGCCTGTGTGGAGTTGGTGTGTTTCGCCCGTGCCTGTGTGGAGTTGGTGTGTTCCGCCCGTGTCTGTGTGGAGTTGGTGTGTTCCCCCCCGTGTCTGTGTGGGGTTCCTCTGGGTATCCCTGTTTCTTCTTGTAGTACCTGAACATGCAGTTTTGGGAATTGGGGGGGGGGGTCACTGAATATCCTGTAACGTATGAGTGTGTGCGCTATGTCAGACTGACATCCCACACAAGGTCCCTGCCTAGTGCATTGTGCTTCCTGACCCCCCACCCCGTGACAGCGCACTGGGTGGTTTTAATGCCAATCCATATGGCATACGAAGTTGGCTTTCCTCTGTTGTACCAGTCATTTTGTCTAAAGTGAAAAGTAAGAAATATGACAGAATCATTGTCAGCCTTTTTCAGTCTGATGCTTCAGTCCGTAACTAATGAGTCAGTCAGCCTTGGCTTTTTTAGCTCTAGGTCTGACCTATTATGGGTTAAACTGGTCCCAATATGCATCACTGTATGAATAATGGGTCTAACTGGTGCATTTATGTGTCCGTGTCCCTCTATGCGTCGGCCAGGCCGTGTGTGTGTGTGTTTGTGTGCCCACCCGCCCGTGTGTGCACGTCCTGAGCACCCCTTCAGGGTGACTGGTGAGGCGGGGGTGGGGTGTATCTGGCAGTCTTTGTGTTCCAGGGAGCTGAATTGCTAAATCACATGAGTCACACCTCTGCGGTCCACTCCGCCCTCGCTCCATCTTTCCGTGAGTCCAGCTCGGGGTCGGGTTCTGACAGTCGGCCCGGCCTGCTTTCCTTCTCCCCTGTAGCTCCACTCTCTACTTTTCTGTGTTTCTTTTGTCTTCCACTTGCTTCCATAGCCCTCATTCCTCCATCTCTCACTTCTCCCTCTGACATGGCTAATTCCTGTCTTTCTTTTCTACCTCTCACCATTCATCCCTCCATCTCTTAGATCTCCTGACTCATGCATGTGTTTCTTGGAGGAAAGAGTGCGTGTGTTTTTGCTCCCTGCCTCTCTGTGTGTGTGTGTGTGTGTGTGTGTGTGTGTGTGTGTGTGTGTGTGTTTTTCTCCTTATGACTCATACAGACCTCCTGCATCTAGAATTTGCTCTATCTTGGTAGTACCGAGACGGTTAGACATTGGGAACGGAGGCAGTAGGGTATGGAATAGATAGTTTGAGTCTTTTTGGAGAGAACAGGAATTGGGCCACGTGGGCGGTTCTAAAACCATGACAGCTGATTTATGATAGGCCAAGGTCCAAGATGGGAGGGGCATGTAGAGGGAACTGTTATTCTTAAGCCAGCAAATGGTCTTTTGTCCTTGTAATAGCATGAATCAACTCAGCCGTTATGTGGTGGATTTCATATTATAATGACCAGTGTAATGTCACTGCAAATTGCTCTGAATGTGATCCTGTAGTATTTTTCCTTTGTGTTTGTTATTTTTTGCAATATCACAGTGTGGAAATGACAGTGAGTATTTTAACATTGAGGTATGAGAGAAGGGTTCCGGAGAGGTTTGGGTGGTTTGCTTTATACCTTTTTAGGTTTCAGGTGAAGTGTGTGTGCGCGTGTGTGTGGGTGCCCAGTCCAGACAGCAATGTCATGAAGCCAATCAGAGCCACCACGCTCCTCCACCAAAGTGTAATATATCCCATAATACAGCTGCACAGCTTGTGCTCTCAGAATGTGTAAAATTCTAGTCACCATGTCCCCACTTGTTCATTTTCACAAACTAAAATCAATTTTCATACAGTCTACTGTGAAATCGGGGGGATTATGAGAATAATAAAAATGTCCTGGACCTAATAACTGAGGGGGCAGAACATCATCTGTCATACAAACAAACATTGAGGGCTCAGTATTTAAAATAGCCAACTGGGTACTTCTGCTGTGCTGTGCAACTGTCCCTGAGTCGGAGGCCCTGGGGGGGGTGGGGGAAACGGGCAAGTGGGGCTGTTGCGTCTGCCGGAGCAAGGAACTGAAAAAGAAGAAATAAAAACGGCGAGAACTGTCGAAGGATGAGTCAAAGAGGTGGGAGGATAAAACAGAGATGGAAAGTAGGAGATGATTAAAGGAAAAGAACGAAAGGGAGGAGAGCGAGAACTGGAGACAGATGGGACTGATAGATGGAACCATCAGAGGCTTGCAGAGGCGGACAGGAACACCACAATGCACCTTTTCTACAAACTTCTTTGTGACAGGACTGCAGTAATAGCTGAGTCTGTGTCCAGGTGTGGGATGAAGGGCCAGCATAGGCCGGGCCACCAGCTTAGCTTAAGTCTCTTTATTTCTCTGTTGTTTCACTCTCTGTGTGCTAGTCTCTGTCATGATGTCCAGCTGCACCAATGAGAATAAAAGCAGGACAGGATCTGACCAGTCCCAGGAGGCAGCAGTGCAGTGAGCTGTGGCATCGCCAGTGTCTCTAAACTTCAGATAAGAGCAGGTCATCAGGGGAGCTAAATCTTACTTGAATTGTCATTGTCGCTGAAGGAGTATCCTGCTGTCTTTACATCTGCCAGCCTCCCCTGTCTTGCCGAAATATCACCCAAGGTGGGCAGCGGCAGTGCCAATATGTCTCCGGTCTGCACAACGATTTGGGGCACTGTTTCGATCTGGCATCTTCAGCGTGCAGATGTTTGTAAGCTGAGATAGTGAGACATGTGCAGGTTCAGGAATGCAGTCAAAACTTGTCAGCAGGCTTGATCTTCATGGCTTTATTTAGCAGGCAGAAGTTACATAGTGTGGCGCGTCTGTATAACGTACAGAGACTTATTATTCGTCTGTATTATTTCCAGACTTATTATTAAAAATCCATCTATCTTCCCACTATTTATTCTAGCCAGTGTTTTTGGGGGGCCCAGAGTCAGTCCCAAGCAGTACAGGGCACAGGGCTGGGGAACACCCTGGACGTGATGCCAGTCCATCACAGGGCTGGGGTACACCCTGGGCAGGATGCCAATCCATCACAGGGTTGGGGTACACCCTGGACGTGATGCCAGTCCATCACAGGGTTGGGGTACACCCTGGACGTGATGCCAATCCATCACAGGGCTGGGGTACAGCCTGGACGTGATGCCAGTCCATCACAGGGCTGGGGTACAGCCTGGACGTGATGCCAGTCCATCACAGGGCTGGGGTACAGCCTGGACGTGATGCCAGTCCATCACAGGGTTGGGGTACAGCCTGGACGTGATGCCAGTCCATCACAGGGTTGGGGTACAGCCTGGACGTGATGCCAGTCCATCACAGGGTTGGGGTAC